ACCAAAATTACCCCAAATCGTTGAAAACACAAAACCAAACGGTAAAAGTTAAGGAAAACAACATCCATCCTAATAAAAACCCATAAATCTGCAAGAGAAGCCTTCGATTTACCTTGGTCTTGTATCGGAGCGAAATCGCCTCGAAATCACCTTTGAGAGAAACGGCGTTAGGGTTTTCTGAATTTCGCGAAAAGTGCGTAAAAAAAAATCTTCTTATATATGTCCGGTCAAAAATCCGGTTAGGTTAAAAAGTAATTTGGTAAAATCCGGTTTGGACGACTTATTATTAAGTCATCTGTTGATACTATACATCCGACTAAGTCGTCTGCCTTATTAAATATATTTACCAGATGACTTAATTATAAGTCGTCCAGACCCTAAACCCTAAACTAAATTGACTAAATTAACTATTAACCATGTTATAAAATCAAATTATACTTAAATATTGTTTACTATACACAGAAATAAACACACTTAGGTAAATTTTAAAGTTTTCAAAAAAACATTTATGCTTTCGAATTTCTAACCCTAAGAAACACATACAATACGACAACATATGTTGGTGAAACCTAAACTAAAGAATATCATCACTCACTACTTTCACTCATCTATGCTGAAAACAACTGACTTTTTTTATATCTTAATTTATATCGCTTAAGATATATGTTAATTACAGAATCCCAATTTTTCATTTATCAAGATATTTATTACACAATTTTTAAATTATTTTTAAGAAAAACTGTCTCAGACGACTTTCAATTAAGTCTTCTGGGCAGACGACTTTCAATTAAGTCGTCTGGGCAGATGACTTTCAATTAAGTCGTCTGGGCAGACGACTTGCGAGGGCTAGAAACGTAAAAAAAAGATTCTTTTTTTGTTTGTTCACAAGGGGTTGGTTGTAATTTCAACAGTCTTTTAAGTTACTTTTGCATTTGATTCAAGTTTGGGTTTACTTTTGCATTTCAAATCAAGTTTTGAGTCATATTTGGCAATTTTCCCTTAAAACTCCTCATAATTCATTTGTCAATAACCCCCCCCCCCTTAAAAGATTTTAAAACAATTTGAAAAGAAAATTTTGAATCTTTGTATGAAAATTTCAAATTTGAAAACATATACTTCGAAATTATAAAAAAAAATAGATTTTTATTATTATTTATATCTATAAAATAAGGAGTATAATGATATTTTAGATATTTAATAAAATTATTCTTAATCATTAATTTTTTTTTCTTTTTACTATCACATTAATTACTTACTTTAAAAGTTAATAACAATCAATAAAATTCTAGACACAAGTCATGAAATCTATGCAAAACTATTTGATAGAATTTGTTAAATCTAGTTAACTTGTAAAAATTTCTTTAACTATTAGAATTATCAAATTCCACAAAAATTAATGTTCCAATAATCCCCCTAAGATCAGTATCACTCTAACAAATTATATGATTAGTTTGGGAGTTATATTTTTTTGTTTAGTGCTGCTAATTTCTCAAAAGTAAATCAGATAGTCGGAAGAAAAACCGAAAACCAAAAAGAAAACGAAAACACGTTAACGAATGGCATGTGCGACTGGGTTAGACGGTGCCATGTCTTCACTAGACAGCACAAAAGGAACTGATAATTCGCGTCTTAATTACCTTGTTGCCCCTCCCGACGAACGCGACTTCACCGTAATAACCGAGAACCGGCGTTGGACAAAAGTCAAAAGTTGACAACTCACACTCCTACGACTTTTCTCTTCAACGCTTCTTGGTTAGTTTCTTTCGTTCAACAACATTTTGTCTCTTCACATTAGACACACCTACAAATAAAATTCCACTTTTTACAACGTTTTGTAGTTTTCTTTAATATCTCTATTATGTAAATTATTATTTATATTTTCCCCATAGTCAAGAGTCCAACAATATCTCTTAGCCAAGACAAGTAGGTTGGAGAATTATGCATACACATTGTAAAAAACATGAAACGTGAAATATTCAATGGCCATAAAGCATACTTTTATATACTAGTAATACAGAGAAAACGCGAAGTCCAAATCCAATTAAACTACTAGCATTTAATTGGTCAAGAAATGCCCTTTGCTCACACACGCACACACAACTATATATATACACACACACAAGCCCTTCATTTCATAACTCAACAACTCGTTTTATAAACCAAACATTCTCATAGAGAGACTGAGACTTAGAGAGAGAAGCAAATCAGAAGTGAAGTTAAAGATCGTGATGGAGAAGAAGATTCTGATCGTGTCATTTATCATCTTATTGGTGCAGATGTCTTCAATTATTTCGAGAGTTGATTGCAGAGCCCTGAAAACAGAGCAGATGAGCGCCTGTGATGAGATGGCCGCCGTAGACGGCGGTGGTTTTAGCTTTTTCTCAGCGTCTGCTGCTGCGAACAGCTCGAGGATTCCTCTGATGAGGAGCTTGGCTTTCCGGTTAGCGTCTGGGCCAAGCAAGAGAGGCCGTGGACACTAGTACTTATTTTCTTTTCCTTTTTTTGCCTTTGCAGCAACATATGTAAAGATTTGTGTAACTAAGTTTTTTCTTCATCTCAAAAGGAAAAAAAAACAATTTATTGATTCATATGCCATGTAATCACTAATCAGAGGCGTGGTTACTGGCTTTTTGTTTGCACAAGTCGTTATACATGTAAAGGTTAATTTGAATTTTTCTATAATGAGTACAAAGGACTATAGTTTTATCACTTTCAAAACGTCACAAACAAAAGCAAATGATAGAAAGAATAAAATGTTTACTATAAGAACAGCCAAAAAATTCATTTACTAATATAAAAGATACACTTCTAGTTGAGTACAAAGTTTAGAATATTACAAATACGTTCAAGAACATCCGATTAAGTTAGAAAGATGTAGAGTACATTACCATGACCTATGTGCAAGAATGACAGGCAAAACATAAGTAAAGATTAAAAAAGCATATGTAAAGATTTATATGATAGACCTAAAAAAATTATTGTGACAAATATAAACTTTAAAACTAAAAATAACTAAAATTAAATTAAATATTTTATCAAAAGAAGTAAATATACACTTACACCTCTGAAATTAATTAATCTATATATTAGAGTTTAAGGTTTAGAATATAAGGTTTAAAGTTTAGAGTTTAGGGTTTAGAGTTGAAACATGGAATTTTGGGATATGATTTCAAATTTTAAAAATATAAAAAAAAATTAAAATTTTCAAAATAAAAAATACAAAATGTTATTTTAATCATTTTAGTTTTGAGATCTATTTTTGTGATAAAAAAATTTTAAAAAAAATTATTTGAGAGAATTGGCCAAAGATTTATGGAACTAAGTTATTATATTCATCTCAAAAGATTAAAGAAAACAACTTCTTGATTTCATATACCATGTAATTACTAATCAGAGGTGTCGTCAGTGGCTTTTTGTCTGCACAGGTCGTTTATACATGTAAATGTTTATTTTTTCTATAGTGGAATCGGTGTCGGCTCAAAAAATTGGGACCCCAAAAAATTTAGAGGCTCTTCAGCAAATTTTCTTTCTTTTTATAGATCTTTATTGTCTTTTTTACAGAAATTAGTTTCCAAAGAATAGTATATTTTATTCTTATAACTATTAATACGATATTCTAGTGATAAATATACAAAACTGTTTTTTGAACATTTAAATATATACAAAACTCAGTTTAGACATAAACATCTAATATTTATTTATTTATTATTGTTATTTTAAACAATTTTTTGAATAGACTTTTAAACTTATTGACTTAGACCATCCGCAACGCAAGGTAATTGGAAGTCCTTAGCGCTTAAACCTAGGCAAATGACATTATTATATTATTTTTTAGTTTTGTTACGGTAAGGATTAATCCTTAGCTAAGGGGTTTAAGGATTCAATCCTTAGTGACGTGGCTTTCAGGAAAGGTAGGTGACCTCGCGAGAAAAAAAATTTTCATTCTTCTTCGACAAAAAAAAAAAAAAACTCTCTGGTGGCGATAGGATAGGCGATTCTCGCCGGCGGCTTCTCCAGAAATCTTTAGCCCTTAGTCTCCAAGGTCTTTCTGCTTGTGTTGATCGTTTTTCGGAGTTTTGAGATCATCGGTGGATTGTTTTCTGGGCGCTCTCTCTCCTTTACGGATGAGATTCATCTCTTCAATCGAAGCGTTGAGATGATGATTCTCTTGGTCGTCGCCGAGATCGATCTTGCGGGAGACATGGCGGGCGGATCTGCGGAGAGGAGTGAGAGTCTGTGGAGTTTGGGGAGTGAGATACGATTTGCGGTAGATGTTATTGTTAGTTGGGGTTTTGTTTGGGGATTGGAAGGTTTTGGTTCTTCTGCTTGTGTTGATCGTTTACACGTTGAGGTATTCGTCTGAGAATAGTGATGTTTCATTAGATATAGATGGAGGAGGAGCCTATTACTTCACATAGAATATAAAAGAAGTGATAGCTAATGTGAAGCTTTTTTGTATTCTGTGATGTTGTGATATATATCGTGGCTTTATCTCATGTTCAGGTGTCGAGACAAGCACAAACAAACACCATGGTGATCTTCTTTGGACGCTTGAAGCAAGTGGGGAAGGTATCTTCAAACCCAGTGTTGGAGAAATGTGCACGTGAAGCAAGTGCTTCATTTGTTAACTCTGGAGGAACAAGAGCAATTGTAAGGGCTAGTGGAGCTGTTGCGTTGCTAAAATATAAGTGGAAAGATGCAGTTTTTGGATTTGCTAGGTAACTTTGCTTCATCTTGAGAGCTTGATAGTCTTATAAGTGCAAGTGAAAGGGTATATGGAGTCATGTTTTGTCTTGTGATGCAGTTTAAGTGACCGTAAACCAGTGGAGAAAAAAGATGAGAACATTGTCATGGTTGTTCCCGACTACCAAATGCTGGAGTATGTTGAGATTGCAGCAAAGATAACAATTGGTTTTAATGATGTTGTGAAGATTCAGATCTTGATGCTAACGAGTTTGTGAAGCCTCTGATGCAGGGGAACAAAGATGGACCTAACGAAGCTGAAGCCTCCACATATCACTTTTTACAGGAGAATCTGGGTCTTGTCTATGCTTTGTCTCAGATTATAACGCCATTGATCATATCTCAGTTGCTTCTGATGGGTTTGTTGGTTACAAAGCGTGCTGCCTTAGCTGCACCGTTTATCATCGCTCTTCCAGTGATTACCATCGGTTTCCATATGTATAAAGGATGTAATCTTTAAGCTTCCATTGCTACGTTTGCGACCTAGGATTTTGATTTCTCTCATAGAACAACCAGTTTAGAGTTTTCGTGTTTAAGGTTTCTTGTTTCAATGCCTAAAGCTGTAGACTTTACAGGAGTTATTGTGTTTAGTATTATTTTTCCAGTGCCTAAAGTTTTAGACTTTACTGGGCTCTTGCTTGTTTGTTGATTCTGTAGAGAAAGTGATTGTTTTATAGAACTTGAAATCTCATACTGTTATTATATGTGATTGGTATGAGCAGATTCTTGAAGTGGGTAATGGATAACAAGGCTTACGAGAAGTTTTTTATTGCTTCAGCTGATGTTCTCGAGTCCAAGGAGAGTGCAGGTGGGGTAAAAGCTTCTCTAACTGATGCTGCATTAGAGAATTTCAAGGAGAAATGGGAGTTGGTTTATCTGTCTACAGAGAAGAGACCTGAGCATCATCATCACTTCAAGGCTGGATCAATGAACGCATTGGTAATACTTTCTTGTTCCACAAGTCAACTTTAACTGCTACATCTTTTGAAACCTGAGTGTCCGGAAACTGAATTATAAGCTCATTTTTTTGCTTGATCAACTTGTCATTTTCTAGTTCTAAACATTTGTGATACAATCCGTTGGGGTTATCACCAAGTTTTAAGATTCAATTCAAAAAAAAAAAAATTAAAAACTCCATAATGGATAACACCATTGGAGTAACATTTGTGGATAGAATCCTTAACTATTAAAAAAACAAAAAAAATTACTTTTATATTAGTAAGAACTCCAATGGTGAGTAACACCATTGGAGGTGCTCTTAGAACACCGTCTCTATATAATTCAACCGGTCTGGTCTAAAATCGAATTAGGAACTGCAAATTATATAAGACCAAATGACTACATAAATCAAAGTTCGTCTTTTTTTAACACTGAATGTTATAAAACCACCAGGCAAAAATTGCATATATAATGTTATTACAAAAACTTATAAGCACACCAATATGCACCAAATCAAAGTTCGTCTTAGTCGCACTCGTCCTTGGCTAGTTTGTCTACCTTGAACATCTCTCTACAATGTAGAGACATATATATATATATATATATATATATATATATATATATATATATATATTCCACCTCTGGTTTATTGTGGTTGTGAGGACTAACTCCGAAATTTTTTTCCAACATCAACGTTATGAGAACACTTTAAGAACTTATTTGCCAACCACGAGAAGGAGGAGCTTGGCTTTGTGGTCCAGAAGTTATGAATGGATGCTTTGAGAATTACTTCAATAAATCACACTACCCGAACAAGACTTGAAGAAGAGTAGCCAAATAAGTTTCAGGCATCAAGCCATATTCCAAATTAGTAGGTCTTTAATTCCCAATCCTGCTTGACTCTCAATTAGTACCACTTCCTCCCAGACCCAGTTCTTACCCATGGCCAAAGGGGCAGGGGCCATGGACCCAATTTTTTTTTTGCAAAAATAATAGAGAAAAATAGCCCAATTTTAAGAAAAAAGCCCAATTTTCATAGTAAAATATAAATAGCTAAAAAAAGGGTCCAATTTTTATAAAAAAACATATGAAATACTCTACATTTTTTTAAATATTATAAGTATATGTAAAAAAAAAATTTTTGCCATGGACCTATAATATTTTTGAGACGTACTTGCTTCCTCCAATGCTACTCTTGCAGTGTTGTGATTTTATGTATCACCTTTTCATAGAAAAACGCTAGAACATGAGTTGATTCTACGAAAATATACATTGGGGACGATGAAATCAAAACACCACAAGGTAGTAATATCTGTTATTACAGTTTTAATAAGAAGTCTTCCGGTGAATGAAAGTGACTTTACTGATCAGGAAGACAATATTTTCTTGATTTGCTGAATTAGAGGTTTGCAATTCGTTGCCATTACAAATAAGTAAAAAGAGGACGGGACACATGTCTCTAACCTCGTATTCCTTTGAAGTAACCATCACAATATTATTATAGCCAACTATAAAATTTGTTGCGCAAATGATGCTCTTAGCTAGGACAGAAAACGCGGAGTTCAATTTTATTTGCAATATAGTTTCTACTTTCTACTAATGTACTTATTTCTTAGCCATTTCTATCTGACATTTAAAATATTTATTTTATTGTAAAAATATATTTAAGAAAAAATAGATTTAATACCAAATTCAATAAAAAGCTGTAGCTTACTTATTTTCTTTAAGAATTTAAAAGGTCACAAACAAAAGCAACAATAAAAAGCAGAACATGTTACTTTAAAAAAGGGCCTAAGAATTTTCAGTAAGTAGTATAAAATATGTACTCATCACTGAATTATCCTGTTTGAGTCTAAAGAAGAGTAACTACCAAAATCACGTTTGACTCTTATCAAGGGTGGTTGTGTTTTGGCCTTATGTTATTAACTATGTTCTTGTTGTTTGTGTATGGTAGTTTAAATGTGTCCAAGTATGATTTTGTCTCCGAGACTGTATTTGTGCAATCGCCTGCTTATGGCTCTAGGATTGTTAGTTCAGTACTAACTTACCTTTTGACTTATCCAGTTTCGAATCAATATAACAACAAATGACAAAAAAAANGTTGTGTTTTGGCCTTATGTTATTAACTATGTTCTTGTTGTTTGTGTATGGTAGTTTAAATGTGTCCAAGTATGATTTTGTCTCCGAGACTGTATTTGTGCAATCGCCTGCTTATGGCTCTAGGATTGTTAGTTCAGTACTAACTTACCTTTTGACTTATCCAGTTTCGAATCAATATAACAACAAATGACAAAAAAAAAAAAAAAACTGCAAAGGTAACTTTTTATGCAGACTTCTCATGCTTTTATGGGCATATTCCCGAGTCAATGGCTCAGATGCATTTCTACAAAAAACTTAAATCACTTATACCCTCCACTAATCTTTATACCCTTCACCATTTTATGAAAATCCCAAATAAATCATTCCCAAGCGATCAAAACTAAACAAAACCCCCCTATGGATCAGTGAACCTATGGGTAAATCTTTAAATTCTATATGTTTCAAATTCAAAAAAAAAAAATTTAAAATCGTTTTTAATCATATTTTGATAATTTTCGGAAAAATATGAAAAACAATTTTTTTGATTTTTGAAATATTTTTATTAAATTCTATAAATCAAACAAAAATATTAATGTTTCCATATTAGTTTTATGATTTTTCGTTTGATATATAAAATTAAAAGAAAAAAGTGGGGACATTTGAGAAATACGAAACAGATGGAGGGGCTGTACAGCCGTTTTCTCCATATTCCCAGCTTCTGATTTTGGCATTAAAGACCGAGTATCCTTGCGAGAATGGAACAAAAACAGAGCCAGTACTATCCCGTACTACCCAGGTTGCACCTGAGAGCGTTTCGGTAAAAAGCCAGTGTTACATTTGAGCCGTCCCACCATACGTAATAATCGTGGAAAAGATGATGTATTCCGAAGAGAATGTTCTTTTTAGGCGAGGTAATTTCGTTTGAATCTTGATACATATACATCAAGCTTGTTTATTTTCTTTAATATTGCTACCAGAAATAAGCTGCACAACAAACCTGTGCAGTAGCCAGTAACCATTAGAAACAAGTAGGTAAATCTTGTTTTGATGTAATTAAAGTTAATCAAAACAGTGACTTACTAATTCACAGCCAAGCTCAACATCCAAATAACTTCAACCTTAATTCTAATGGTACGAAGCAACGTATTCCAAACCCAATATTGTTATTGTAAGAAGTTGAAGACACTGTTCCAACAACCACAAGGACATAACTAATGGATACTAGCTAGCAGCAAGTACACGATGGATGCATCAGAGCATATGAATGTGAGCATATGGATGAGATTAAGCAGGAATCGAGCAAAACAATTTACCAACGATATTAATCAGATGATTAATGCTAATCGTTAACCAAGCAAGCAACAAATCGAAAAGAAGAAACATCATATGCCAGAGATCCACACAGTCATTACAATAACAGATAACTTGATAAATCTCATATGAATCCACCGAAACACTAATAGATAGATTTATAGATACGATAAGGAAGAAGAAAGAGTAAGGTAAGGCAAAATCTCAAGCCTCACTCTTCTCGGACTCAGGTGCTGCATCGTCGTCTTTCACATCTTCCGTTGCATCAGTCTTCACATCCTCCACCGTTTCGTTGGTCTTCGTGGTGGCTGCAGATCGATCCTTCACCGTCTCAAGCATCCGCTTGCTAATCTCCCTGGAGTAAACCTCAAGGATCTTGATCCCATCGTCATCATCAGAAACAGCGTTCGATGCGACGTCGTATGCTTCCTCCTCGATGGATTTGGCGACGGCGGAAGCTTCGTCGGAGTTGAGCGTACCGTATCTCTTGGAGAGGATGGATTCGGTGGACAACGTCTCGGCCAGACGCTTCAAGACGGCGTCGCGAGTTTTCTGTGTCGGTGGCCAAATGCGGAGCGAGTTGCCTCCTGGCTTCGTCTCCGCGACGGACTCTTCCTTCTTCAGATCTACGGCTTTTGAGGTTTCATCGGATGTCTGATCTGGCGTCGTCGCGGGCAATGTGGTGGAGCCCTCGGATTTGGAAAGCGGCGGTGAGACGGTGGTGTCGATTGTTTCTGCCATTTTTTCAAAGTGAATCTAGGGATTCTGTGAGATTTCAGAGAGATTTTTTGGTTTGGTGATGTCTCTGTGTTTGACGTTTGTTAAAAAGTGAACATATGTTAAAAGTCTTTAATGCATTTGTTTATTAGTTGGTTCCGTGTGTAAATGGGACATCCGTGTTAAGAGCATCTCCAAAAGACACTCTATAACTTCAAATATGAAGTTTTTGTCTCTCCAAAAAGGAATTCTAAAACTTCAAATTTGAAGTTTTGAGTAGTGAAATTTCAAATATAGTGTGTCACTATTCAAAACTTCAAATTTGAAGTTTCATATTTTATTTACATTTTGGTCCTTACAATTACACATCATATTTATAATAATCTTAAATATTTATTATTTATCATTTTAATCCTTAAAATTATTATGTCATAAATAGTTCAAAATTATTTTTGTAAATTTTAATTTGCTATTTAAAAAAGCATCAAAATAATCTTTAAAATATTTTAAAACTAGAAGTAGACAACAACAATATTACGTGATATAATGTGGTATTTTGTTTGTACTTTAATATTTAACTATATCTTTCTTTTATAGTTTTATATTTTAGTGTAACATTTTATCAAATGATATTTCTATAATATTTTTATACATGATAGTTATTTATAAAAGTTTATGAATTTGAATTAGTTATGACAAATATAAGGACCATTATATAAAATACAAATAATTTTAAAGTTAGGTTTGAAGTTTTGTTTTTGGAGTATAACAACTTCAAACTTCAAATATAGAGTTTTGCAAACTCTATAATAAAGAGTCTTTTTGGAGATGCTCTAAAAGGACTCTAATCTACCGGTCTTCAAAAATTCTCTAACAACTAATCTAAAAGTGTGCGTGGAGTAAAATGGTGGAAAAAAAGAGAGAAACTATAGACTATTAATGAAAAGTAAAAAAAAATAACTTTAGTTTTCCTTAAAAACGGGTTGGCTAAATATTCCCCCCTCTAAACACATAAACCCTACTTATTCCCCCCTAAACTATTAAGTTCTTTTTTAACCCACCCAAATATATATTTTCTCTTCATATGTCCCCTAAACTTTTTAAACCCCCCTCTCTAATTGGATTTACTAGTCATGATTAATGAATCAAAAATTGCGTTTAGAAAATAGCGATTGCCCAATTAATTTTTTTTACGACACAGAAAAAGAGAGAGAGAGAGAGAGAGAGAGAGGAACATAAACGACGCCAGAGAGAGATGACCAGAGAGAGAGAGAGAGAGAGAGAGAGAGAAACGACCAGAGAGAGAGAGAGACAGAGAAACAGAAACAAAGAGAGAGAGAGAGAGAGAGAGAGAGACGAAGAAGATGACCCAGTAACAACGAGATAGAGAAAGATGATGGGAACAGAAAAGAGAGAGAGAGAGAGACAGAATGAGAGAAGAGAATGTATAAGAGTTGAAAAAAAAAAGAATGCAGAGGAGAGAAAGACATTGAAGAACCATGAAGGGTCTATTGTTGTTAGGTTTGGAGAATTTTCAAGCTTGTTTAACTTAGACTTCATATTTTTTTTATGTCTGAGTTTGAGTTTGAATTTTTTTTACAGAGATGAAAAAGGTGAAGTCCAAAGTGTTGATACCATTACTGAAACAGAGAAGAATGACTTCTATGTCTTAGTTTGAGTTTGTCTGAGTTTGAGTTTGTTTCTGTCTCTCTCTCTTTCTGGGTCATCTTCTTTGTTTCTTTGTTTTGTTTATCCCCCCTCTCTCTCTCTCTCTCTGGCGTCGTTTCTGTCCTCCCCTCTCTCTCGCTTAGGGTAATCGCTATTTTCTAAACGCAATTTTTAATTTATTAATCATGATTAGAGAATTCAATTAGAAAGGGGGGTTTAAAAAGTTTAGGGAGAAATATGAAGAGAAAATATATGTTTGGGTAGATTAGGAAAGAGCTTAGTTGTTTAGGGGGGAATAAGTAGGGTTTATGTGTTTAAGGGGGGGAATAGGCAGCCAACCCTAAAAACTACGATAGAACGTTACTTCAACTAAAACACTGTAGTTTTTCTTTGACATGAGTTTCAATATCTAACACTATTAAAAGATGCTAATAAAGTATTCTTAGATCTAAGTTAGCTAGGTCCTTTTACCGTAAGCTTGTGTACGTTGGTTATTCTGTTCCGGTCTGGTTACCCAGACCACCTCAAGTCGCTTGAGTAATAGATCAGTCGTTTGATATCAAAAAAAAAAAAAAGTATTCTTAGATATGCCATCTCAGCTGAAATAATCAACCAATAAAATTATAACAATAATCCATGTTATTTTGGTTTAGTTTGCTTAGCTGAGGACTCGGTTTGATTTTTGGTTCGACTTTCTAATATGATTATTGGTTTATTACAGAGGGAGAGAAAGCTACATTTTTTCTGCGTTCCTCTTCAATCCCTAATTTTGTGTTTTTCTTACCTTTCGACTTCCACATCTTCTCTTCTGTTGAACTCATTTAAGAAATTAATCAATTGATTCCTTTCACCTTTCTCTCCATTTTCCTATTTATAGATCTCTTTTCTTATTCCTCGATTATGATGAAACGTCACGGCAAGGCTGTTGTTTCATCTGCCGCTCCGATGATACCAAACGCTGCTACCGCTCTCTCCTCCGTGCATGGCGACCAAGTAATGTTCTTCAGAGATGTTTCTCTCGGCCACAAGAAGCCGAGTTGAGTTTCCGAGTGGTTAACTTCTAGGGTTTCACGAACATGGCCGTGGAGATTTATTTAAACCCGTTTTTGACTTATTTGTGTTTTGTGGTATGAAGGTATTACATGAACGATTCTGGTGAAGAATGGGAAGATGTCAGATCTTATAGGGAAGCTTCAGATTAGTATTAGTTAAAGCTTTCTTTTTTTATTTTTTATTTGTTTTGAATTGAGAAGGAAATTGTAAAAAAAGATCTGCTTTATTCTTTTTTCTTGGTTTTGAATTGAGAAGGGAATTATAAAAAGGAAAAATTCTTTTTTTGTTTTTAAAGGCTTTGGTCTAGAGATTTGAGAAGTCTGAAGATCATTCAGATGATGATTCTGATCCCATGGCTACTCAGTTATTGTTTGTTTGTGTGTATTGACGTGAAGAGTGTTGTATGAATTAGTAACTTCAAAGATATTCTCCTATCTTCCTCGAAGCAAAGGTAGTAATTTCTCACATATATTACTTTGATTTTGTTTTAAATGTACAAAAAAATCAGGTATTGTGTTTCATATTTGCATTTTGAGATATCTTTCTTGACTATTAGAAATAAATTTCTAATGCATATCAAAAAGCATTGGGTTGAAACGTGTAGACTGCAAAAATTATTGACATATTTTCTATGAGCATTTTCTGAATATTTTTAGTTTGTTTTTTTTGTCCTGTTCGTGAACATGAGATAAACTTGAACTAAATTAGATATGTTTCCTTATGTGTTTGTGAATCTTTATCGACATGAAAAAATCTTCATTGAGTCAAAGAGAAAGAGATAGTCTATTTTTTTCAGGAATCCTCCACAGTTATGGAAAAACCATGTCACGCTTCAGACGTCTCATACTACGTAATGATCACAAACCCTCGTGACCTACTCTGTTTTTACTTACTCTGTTTTCATCTATGTTATTGTTGCTCTGTTTCAGGTGAGGAACGAGGTTGAGCTCTGTATTCAAAATTACATAAGCTTTGAAAGAATCACAAAGTATCTTGAAAAGAATGACCAGATTAGTAAAAATCTCACCCACAGAGGTAAAAAAACTTAGCAAAGTTGGCTACTTTATTTGATTTCATCAATGGGTTCTGAATAAAGTTTTGATTTTTATTCTTTCTCTTCTTAGTTTGGGAGAAGCTTCGGAAAGAGAATCCAGTTTTATTCAGTTACTTTGACCTGAGATGCCAAATGGCTCTTCAGATGAGGATGTTCAATGATATGCTGACTAAGCAAACTGTTCGGATGTTCGAGAATGGTCTTCTTGATATTTGTGATGCTTCACGTACGTATATCACACACACACACACACACACACACACACACACACTCATCTTTACTGTATCATCTTAGATTCATCTACTTAGATTTGGTTATGTTTTTTTCTATGTGCAGCTGCAGTCAAGACTTTTCTTCATCAACATCCTACAAGAGTTCATCTTCTGGAGACATTAGGTAAATCAACATGTAAAAACTCTCTAATCAGTCTTTTGAAATCTCTTTGCATTGTGTAGCTTACAAGAGAAAACTGAGTTCTGCAAGCTCAGCATTGCCTTATGAAAATTGTCAAACAGGTGAAAGCCTCACAAGCTTTGGTACTATACTCAATGTTTCAAAGTTCGGTTTCTTGCATTGTTTACCTCCAAATATTGTATTTCTCTTTTCTGCAGTTGCAGTCTCAGAATCCTTATGATCACCAAGATCATGTCCTTAATCCAGCCATATATAAGTGGTATATCAGGTAAAGCCTGAAAAAACTTTGGTACTAAACTTAATGCTTTAAAGTTTGGTTTCTTGTTTTTTTTACCTCCTAATACTTCCTTATGTCTCTCTCTTTTTCTGCAGTTGAACAGACGGAGAACCCTTATGATCAAGTCTTTAACTCTGCAAGCTTTTCAATGCCTAATCCAAATGTTCCATCAAGTAAAGCCTTACAAACTTTGATATTGTTACTCAGTAATTGAAAATTAGTCTTTCTGCATTCTTTTTTAATCTCCCAAGACTATGTCTATATTTTTTTTCAGTTGTTCAGTGGCATATGCGTAATGATCAGCTATTTCAACAACTCCTTTGTGCTTCAAGCTTACCAATGCCATATGCAAATGGTCCATCAGGTAAAGTCTTTACCAAACTTTTAGACTATATTTATTATACAGTGATTGGATATTCGATTCTTGCACTTTTTCGCTTCCAAAAGTTCCTTGTGTCTCTATGTTTTGCAGTGACACAGCTGACTATTCCTTGTGATCAGCAAGATCAACCCCTTTATACCACAAGCTTACCATTGCCTGATGCAAATGGCCCATCAGGTAAAGCCTGTTGTTTACTATATACAGTGATTAAAAATTCGGTTACTTGCACTTTCTAGCCGCAACAAAATGTCCCAGTAGAAACCTATTTAAAAAATATGTTAAAAATTAATGTTTCAATTTTAGAATTTCATATTAAAAAATTAAGTATTGCTAAAAGTATGGTCTTATAAGCTTCCATCATTCAACATATTTACAATGCGCAACATATCAATCAAAAGAAAGTACGATCACATAAAGAATGACTTATACATAGTCTCTACCCAGCTAGATCAGGTATGTATCTTTTCTATTTAAATTAAGATGTTTTGATATCTTTTTCAATTTGAGTTAACTAACATAATCTTTACTATTTTTAGACTATTTCTCTCATATGGTCCACATTAGCGCTAATACTCTTCTTTTTTTCAAAATACATTATCTCTTTCTTACATTATTTATGATCATTTAAACTATTCTCTTTATTTATAAAAAAGTACAAACACTCAATAATCACCAAGTTTTTCATATTTTTTTTCAAAAAAATACAATGTTCTCAATCCAAAAAAAATAGTATTGAAAATTATGATTCTAATCTAAACTACTTATTCACGTATATGCGCGTAGTGCAGTGAAAGACTCTAGTAGGTATAAGGTCCACTAATTTTAAATCAAAACCAAATTATCAAATTCAATTTTAAAAATGGCATTTATTAATAAAATTGCTAGAGCTCTTTTTATGAATTGATTTTTTTGCTTTCTAAATAATTTATTTAAAAAAAATATCTAAAAATATAATTTTAAATTATAATTGCAATCAAAAAAATAATAGTATAATTTAATAAAATATACACAATCTAAACAAGATACTCTAATATTTTACACTTAATTGTTTAGTTTACCAAGTAAAAAAAAGTACGATATCAAAAAAAATACAACTTGATAGTTAGAAAAAAATAAACAAAATGAACAAGATACACCGACATCATAACTCAATAACCTGTGAAATATAAATATTCTTGTTTTTTACAACTATTATAAATATATATTTATACATAATATACATCCGCGCAAACGCGCGAATCAAAAAGCTAGTAAATATTAAAATTGTACTAAATTTTGGTAAACGACCAATTTTCATATCAAAAATATAGTATACTAATAATTTTACACAATTTTCATGTTTATCTTAATTGCTCACATATTAAATATATGAATTTGTTTATCTCCATTTTCAAACATCGAAATCCAAAACTACATTGACGACTTGACGAAGGTTTAGTTTTATTTTTTTAGTTAGAACCCAAACCAGTATCAAACTAATAAAACTAATATCAAACTAATTAGTATTGAAGTGAAATTAAAATCCGACGATTTTGATATCCAAATAGAACATGACCCAACATCTTACAAAAAGAGTTGAGTCATGTTCTATTTGAATATTAGATCGGTCAAATTTTAATTTCATTTAGATACCAGTTGGGTTTATATTCTAAATCAGTAAAACCAAGCGAAAACCAAGCTAAACCTTCATATATGTGATTTTGAATTTTGAACTCTGAAAATTAGAATAAGTAGATTCATATAATTAAAATGTGTAAAATTAAGATAACATAAAAGATAGTGTATACATATTATTTTATGATATTTCTGACGTGAAAATAAGTTCTCTACCCATAAAATTTTGCACTTGTTTAAAGTAAGGAAGAATTAATCTACTTTTATTAAGTTCCCTCCACCTTTAAATTAAATGGTTGGGAAACTTTTTTTACTTGATTGGTATAAATAAGTTGAACTTATAATAAATATCAGAACTAGAGTAAATATTTGCTCTAAAAGGTACATCCAGTCACATTCTATAATACATTACGTATATTAGGGCTGGACAAAAATCTGAACCTAAAAAGTCAAATCGAATCCGATTCGAGAAAGTAGTATCAAATTCGAGTTAAAACTGGTTCAATATCCGAACATATATAAATTTTAGTATCTTGAGAATCGAAACTTATCCAAACCAAAATATTTTGGGTATCCACATATATCCAAATAAGATTTATATACTTGAATATATTAGCTATTTTTAGATATAATATCAAAAAATGTAGCCAAATATATAAGATATTTTGAAGTTTTCCAAAATATTTGAAAATATATACAAATATCAAAAGTAAATATCTAAAGTAGCTAAAAATTCTCAACACAACCGAAATACCTAAAATATCTATTGATTCTCAGTTCAAATATTCAGGCAAATCAATTTTTATGTTAAGTTAGATACTTTGACATACATTACTCAAATTTATATGTTATATAAAATTTTTATTTTTAGATTTTAAGAAATTTTAATATATATAACTTTTAATTTTTTTAAAAAAATAGTTTAAACGATTTAAAAAATAGTTCATACAATTTTTTTGATAGTTCATATAATTAATTTGAAATAAATCTTAGTTTATGATGAAGACAACATGATATCAAAGATTAGGTAGAAAAAATGACTGAAAGGTTGAAATTGACAATTTTCTCTACAAACCACCTATAAAGTGTCAAATTATTTAGGACAAAATATTATAAACATATAAAATGTGATAATGAAAAATAATAGAAAATTAGAAGGGTGGTTGAGTAAATAATTCCAAATATTATTCAGTAATAAAAGTGATTTTTTGAACTCAAACAATGTGAAAATCGTTTTAAATCGCACCACTATACAACATCTTACCGGTAAAACAAATCCAGACATAAATCTGAGGAAAAAATTGCCCGCCAAATGAGTTTCAGATTGATATTCGTACCTCCAAAGTTTTTGTTTTCAACTCTAAAAAAAACAAAGCTCAAAATCACACACAGAGCGCGAGAAGCTTTGTTTTCAACTCGAAAATGGCACTTTTGCTCTCCCCTTTTTCTTCCCCTTCTCACCCTCACTTCTTCCTCCCACCAAATCTCTCTCTCTCTCTCTCTCTCTCTCTCTCTCTCTCTCTCTCTCTCTCTCTCACACACACACACACACACACACACACACACACACACAGTCTCTTCAACCCCTAAATCATGACTGAAAAGGAGATCTGTGCGAGGATGACGAGAGTGGTGGCGAAGAGAAAAGCTACGGCCATGGCAGATGAACGGTTCTCCAAGAAGAGAGTGGTTCTCGGCGAGCTTCCAAATCTCTCCAACATCCCCGTCTTGTCCAATTTCAATCAGAATCCAATGCCCACAAAGAGTCTCGGAGCTCTAGCAAAGCTGAGAAAGACGGCTCCGTTGGCTTTGGCTGCCGTGGAATTCGGATCTGACATTGATTCTCGATCTGATGATCCTAAGATGTGTGAACCCTATCTCACCAACATCTATGAGTATCTCCGTCAAATGGAGGTAAAACAATCTCTATGTTTGGTCTTGTTTCAATTTTAAGGTTGTTGGTNAGTCTCGGAGCTCTAGCAAAGCTGAGAAAGACGGCTCCGTTGGCTTTGGCTGCCGTGGAATTCGGATCTGACATTGATTCTCGATCTGATGATCCTAAGATGTGTGAACCCTATCTCACCAACATCTATGAGTATCTCCGTCAAATGGAGGTAAAACAATCTCTATGTTTGGTCTTGTTTCAATTTTAAGGTTGTTGGTTTTATCTGAAGGCTTTCAATTTAACTCTTATGTTCTTTAAACATAATCTGAGTTGGTTTTGACAAATTAAGGTTTTGATTATATTATGTATTATTATTGTTGTTGGTTATGTTATATGTGATGCTGAAATATTATTGCTTTTGGTGAAACTCAGGTGAAGCCAAAACAAAGACCTTTACCTGATTACATGGAGAAGGTTCAGAAAGATGTAACGCCAACTATGAGAGGTGTTTTGGTTGATTGGTTAGTTGAAGTTGCTGAGGAGTACAAACTCCTGTCTGAAACACTCCATCTCACTGTCTCTCACATGGATAGATTCTTGTCCTTAAAGACTGTCAACAAGAAGAGGCTTCAGCTTGTGGGAGTTTCTGCTATGCTTATTGCCTCGTAAGCATCTTTGAGATCCCTCTTTTGTCAGTCAAATCTTTGTGTTTGTATGAATCTTATGGAACTTATTCTTGTTCTTTTCGTATTTGAAATCGAGTAGAAAGTATGAAGAGATAAGTCCTCCCAAAGTGGAAGATTTCTGTGACAGCACTGATAATACATTTTCGAAACAAGATGTGGTGAAGATGGAAGCAGATATAATTCTTATGCTTCAGTTTGAATTGGGGAGACTTACAGTCAGTTCTTTTATAAGGTTAGATTTGTGATGAAACAATGTCTTTTGATGCCGGTACTTGCATGTTTTTTTGTTGTTTCATTGTCCTCATTGTGCGTGTGTTTTGCCCTTTTTTCTTATGTGCAGACGGTTCACAAGGGTTGCACAAAAAGATTTTAATGTAAGCTCAAACTCATCTACCTTTATATAAAATTCAGAATCTGAAGAGGGTCAAATGCTAAAATTCTTTTTTTATTCTATGCATTTATTTCAGGTGCCACACTTGCAGCTAGAGCCACTCTCGCTATTTATCAGAGTTGAGTATATTAGATTACAAAGCTTTCAAGTTCTTGCCGTCTCTTTTGGCTGCTTCTGCTGTCTTTCTTGCTTGATTCATCATCCGTCCAAAACAACATCCTTGGGTAAGCACTTTGTCTCGTTCTCTTACATGTAAAAATGTTTTGAGTCAAATCTTTTGAATCAGAAACTAATGATCGATAGTTGTTGATTGATGCAAACAGAATCAGATGTTAGAAGAATACACAAAGTACAAAGCGGCTGATCTACAAGAATGTGTGGGAATCATACATGACTTGTATCTCAGCAGAAGAGGAGGTGCTTTACAAGCTATTCGAGATAAATACAAGCATCACAAGATAAATTAACATTTACAATGAGATCAGTGATCATATCATATGAATTAAGCATTTACTGATACTTAAAATGTTGCTTCGTCTGGTTTACAGTTCCATTGCGTTGCGACCATGCCTGTATCACCTGACCTGCCGGTTACCTTCTGGGAGAACATTACCATTTAACCTGAACCAGTCTTTCTTTGGAGGAAATATGTCAAACATTGCTCGGGACACAATCCTCGAAATTAATAAAGACTCGGGTTGAGCTTGAATTGAAAGAGGACTATTAGGACAGATGAAGAGTGATCTTGAGAGGCATCATCGTGAACTTAGGGCATACATAGATCTAATTTTTCGTGTCTGTATATATATTTTTTTTGTTGCTGGTGAAGACAGCCTATGCAGTTGTTTCATAAATGAAAAGATTGAAAATCTATTGCGATGTTTAACAAGGAAATTAATTATATTTACATACCATCTTGATGTACAGATACGTCCAATTTACTTCTTTCATGGTGATGCTATGATGATTTAGTTTAAACATCGTATATGCATAAAATTCGATCAATTGATAATATTCATGAAAGCTTCGAATTTGGGGAGGAATAGTTACAAGATCTTTCTACTACGATTTGATGGAAATAAATATGGAAATAAATATGAAATTCATTGTTATGAATGTTAACAACTATTTGTTCTGATGGCTAAAAGCGATCCTTTGATTGTTGTAAGGGTATGTGGTATACCATTTGGTAGCTAACTTCTCTAGTGTTTTAGA